TGACGTCAGCTCCCCAAGTGCAGTACCTGAGGGAGTGCCACATTGTCACAGATTCCACCTTTCACTTGACGTATTAAACCCAGGCCCAGTTTGTCCTCCTGTGTGAATGCACAAGATCTCACAACTACTGTTTTGAAGAAAAAGGACGTTTTTTCCAATTTCCTCACCAATATTTATCCCTCAACCAATATCACTAAAAATAAATTACTTAGTGTCTGAGAGCTGCTCGAGAAAGAGAGAGAGAGAGAGATCTGACTGTAAACAAGCTACCACAGCTCCTACAACAGAGACTGCAGTGAAGGTAATCAATCAATAAAGCGATTATTTAGCTGATATCCATTTTGGGAAATCCCGAGGATTTAAAAGGCAGTACAAAAATTCAAGTCTTTCTTATTGTTCTGCACTGACTGAACCCCATCTCAAACCTTCTGGGTTTGTGGATCTCAGGACTCTTTTTAAGTGATAATCCCTGAAGGAATTCGTCAGATCTGGAACCAGCTACATTTACTGCAGTGGTGACTGTAATCATTTCATACTCAGATAATGATGGAAAGGATTCTTTTGGGGTAACTCACATCCAACAAGTTCCAAGATGTGTTAACAAAACCCCGCTCCCCCCAAAATAGGTCAACACCACTCAAAACTTCCCACCCGAGTTCAGGTCATTGTATCAACAACGGAAATTTGCCATGCTGAAAGTGAAACAGTCCACAGAGATATGGAAGTGGAATTGAAATGGCTGGATCAATTAGAGTGTCACAATGGCACATCAGAATTTCTTATCACTACAGGGAAAATTTCAATTGGACATCTCAAAACACTGGCAAAGGACCAAAACTTATCCCAATGAAGGAAATGCAAAGCTTTGAGGCCACATCTGTCTCAACCCAGCAGTAGGATGTCCTAGCTAACAGCACAGCCCTGGGAAGACTATTCCCTCAATACCATGCCAGGAGCTGGCCTATCATCTAAGCTGAAGTAGCTATGTGCCATGCGCATGCATTCTGGTAGCATTGGGAGGGCAGTTGTGGGGGGGGGTGGATTTAACCTAGCCAACGCTTTTGGGTAGAAGGAATGACATCAGCTTTGATGTTTTACAGAGACTGGCCTTCTTAATCAGATAACACAGCCATATCCATGGCAGAAGAGGCAGCAATGCAAGTCTAAGAGAATAGAACCAGTTGATATTGTCCTTGACCATACATTTACATCCTGATGTACTTCAGTTCAGTGTTAGGAACTGTTTAAATCATATTCTCTTAATATTGGCATTCTCTGTAAGTACAGAACTTCACAATGTTGTTTAGTAGGTAAGGATTCAATTACCGTGTTTTATTAAGTTTCTTACCTAGAATTACATACTAACCAAAAGAGAGATTTAAATCACAGTTGTGCTGCAGAATTCTGGTAAGAGTTTATCCGGAAGAAGCTTCACAGAAGATCAATGCTGCTTAGATTCTATAAGTCCATATCGGTAAAAATGCAGTGAGAGAAAAAAGTCAAAAATCAGGACTCATTCTGAAGGCTAGACGTTTAGAAAGGAGGTGTAGGGTGTTAGATCAGTACTTGGCAACAATAGCATTAGATTTGATTTTCCTTGTTACAGTTCCCCATGTACTTTGTATCAATGTCTACCAAGGAGCGGCATTTTCTGAAAGTTACAGAGAGCAAGGAGGCTGTTAGGACAGTGGCAATAAGTAAAAATAAATGAAGGGAACACAACCAACTTAAAAAGATCCAGAATAGCTCACTGGGTTGGATGGCTCCTGTTGTGCTGGACTATTCTACTTGTTTGCTCACGCACTCTCTTTCCAATCCATTGAATCCACAAGCCGTTCCTCCTGGTTTTTCACTTCTCACACTGCTTCTTCGTTGTTTTTCTCATGCATCCATTTTCTCTCATTCTCTTGCTCCTCCTTTCACTCAGTTTCTCACATGTCTGGCATTCTCCTCTTTCATTTATATTTTAATTAAATTTTCAGCATTTTCCATGCCCCCTCAAAAGATCAAAATACCTTTACTGCATTTTGATTTTTTATAAAAGACCACTCGCTTTGTTAGAAAATCATTTTATTTATGCTATGATTTGTATTTTTCATTCTCCTATGGTAAAATTTTATGTCATCTTGCTTTATTTTGAGTTATGCAATTGTACAAGTTATTTTCTGTGTTACATTTGATTTAATTTTCTGATAAAGAACATTCAACAATGTGAACTACTTCCTGCATGTGTGAACATTGTCAATAAAACAAAGCCTGAAAACCCTCCGGGTAATCCTGTACACTGACATCCTGGGTTCACTCTTTCCGTCTTTAATAATGTTTCATGGGGGATTTTAAATATTACTTGGGGAAGGGGTACAGCAGATTTTCCAATGTGTTGCAAATCTACACACCCATCAGACAGAGACCCAGAAACCTGTTAGGGGTTTAAAGTGAGCTTGAACTGACACAGAACCTAGACAGGGCAAAATCTTCTTTCATGCATGCACAAATGCTCCAAGGGATTGAATCACCTCTGACGTCCTGTGCACCCCCTGACCACGGTCCAATAGCCTGCCACAGGGCTCAATGCTCGAGGAATAATGCTCCTCAAAGTTAACACTTCTACCTGAGGGAGAAGCTTATGCTTTAATCTATTTTCCTAATCAACCTGTTCAGGGATGTTATAACAGACTTCTGGAGCAGGTAGGACTTGAACCTGGGTCTCTCTCTGTTCAGGGGTAGGGACCATTCTATAGCTTTGAGCATATTATTTAGATTGACATTCAAGTGCTCTACCAGGACTCTGTGACATTGCCAAAGGCACCATCTTTTGGGTGATACGTCAACCCTCTCAGGCTGGCATAAATTTTTCCACGATCTATTTCAAGGAAGAGGTATGATGGAGCCAATGTTTGTCTTTCAAGCAACACCATAAAAACAGATTATCTAGCTATCACCATGACTGTGGGAGCTTGCTGTATACAAGTTGTTCCAACATCACAATCATAACAAGACTCCAGCCAATGAAACGCTTCGGAAAAGTGATTTGGAAGGTCTTGCAGTTATGAATATTCTCTCCCTTCCCCATACACCAAACTGCTCAAGGGGTGGTTTATGGAATCACTCATTTACAGCACAGAGGCCATTTGGGCTTCAACCCAATTTCCAACTTTGTCGTTAGCTCTAAGACAGCACCTCAAGTACATATCCAGGTATTTTTAATTAGAAGGATTGTGCTTCAAATATAATTTCAAACAGAGTTCCAGACCCTTACCACCAGAGTGAAAACTATTTCTCATCTCACTTCTAATCCTCATATAATTACAATGATTATATGGCCCCTGTTTATTCACTTCTTTGCTAAGTGAATTCTATCTAGCGTGAACAGATTTCGGAAAAGCAAAACCTGAAGGCATTAAAATGTTTTGCGAATGCAGGACTGTGATGATTGACATTTTGGTCAGCCAGTAGCAGTTGAAAGTAGAAGGTGATCCGCTGGAATTTGTGCAACCAGAATTGACAACCATCCTCCATAGATTATTTAAAAGATGTCATCGGCAATGGAGCCTTCAGCACCGAAAAGGAAGTAATAAGGCCTCTGAGACGTAAAGGAGGAACGTGGGAGAGATACACTGTATACAACGGAAGGACTTTTCACCTTTTGCCAAACCGGGCTCATTTTATATTTAACTAGAAAAAGGTACAAGTTGGAATCTGGGACAATCACACAATGTTTAGGAAATTGTAGGGATACCAAGTCATTTAATGAAAAACCTGGGGCATTCCAGTCAAATTGGGACATGTGGTCCTGCCTGTTCATTCTTTATCTAGGCCCATCCTAATTTCACATACCTCAATTAACTCTCTACTCACTCTTCCTCTGTTCTAAGGAAAACAAACTAATCTTTGCTTATCGCTAAAACATTCCAGTATCTATACTGTACTTTGTGTTGCAGCAACCAGAACTGAATACAGTACTCTAGTTATGGCCTAAAGCCCCATAGCTCTGGCATAACCTCACATCCTATGTTCTGTGCCTTGGGCAATAAAGGAAAGCAAGCTTCTTTAACCACCTGAGGGAAGAGGTGGCATCTAGGAAATTGTCATGCCTCAGACCTAGACAGAATTGACACAGAATGTGAAGTAATTCTGAAATTTAACACAGCCTGGCAGCAAATACAGAGCCACATCTATGAGCAGATGCAGGGGAAGGTAGGGTTAATGAGGTGTAAGGATAGGGCAATTTCAATACTCCAATCTGTTCACGTGCTGCTGTGGTGGAGAGTAGGGGTTAGAAGAAGCCTAAACATTCTGTCAGAAGCTCCAAAGCATCATCTGACACTGATCTACATTTTTAAGGACCCTTCCCCGTTGGAGTCTTCATCCTTTCCTACTTTGAGAAGAGCTGGTTAAAAAGGGAAGCCAATTGAACATTGGTTAATTTATTCAGCAGATTTTCTGTGTTCATTGCCCGATAAGCAGGTCAAACAAGACAACTGCCCGAGAATACCACCACAGCGCACTCATTCCTGCTCTGGTGAGGAAGTGGCCCTTCCTGGTGGATATAATCACATGACAGCTATTCATAGGTCAGGGAGGCTCACCTCAGCATCCTGGCCAAATTTAAATAAGACTATTTGGTCATTATCACATTGTATGTGGGATCTTGCTGTGCAGATTGGCTGCTGCATTTCTATATGTACACAAACCAGCATAATGTCTTAATTAGATTCCAGACTGCAACTTACACTTAATGGAAATCACCCAGATGCCCCAGTAAGATTCTGGTCTGTAATTCATCAAATATCCATTAATTTTAATATAACCCCTGCCCTCCACACCCCATTCTGGTTATGTGCTGCAGCTGTGGCTCAAACACATGACCTGACTGACACACAGCTTAGTGGGTGGGTCTGTTATCAGTCACAATACCATAGTTATGGGGTATGTTATGTAGATGTTGGGTGCTCTGACATTAAGCAGATAAATTCTGACTCACTTCTCTTCCCTTCCAGGAACCATTGATGAGGCTGAACGTCAGTGGAAGATGGAATTTCATCGATGGAGCTCCTACATGATGCATTGGAAGAATCAGTTTGACCATTACAGCAGGCAGGAGCGTTGTGCGGACCTGTGACCACCCCACCTCCCTGCACTTCAGGTTGAGCGGTGAGGCAGACAGCAGAATCCAAAAATGACCAGCCACCCAGTCTAGTTCCTAGCATGCCCCTCTGTGCCCACTGTAAAACTTTGCCAGTATGAGTATCATCTAATGGTGCTCACCCTTCCAAGGCCTGCTCACAGGATTTGCTTCAGTCTTGCAAATCTCACCATCGTCCATAAATCTTTCAATGCGTCGCAATTGGTCATTTCTGCTGACATGTTCCTCCCCTCTCCTCCACCCGCATCAACCCACTCCCCTCGCCATGCTCTCATTTTCACCTCTCCATTCCCCGCTGTTGTCCTCTCCTAAGACTCTCCATGTCCACGTGGCCTATGAGGATACTTTGAGCCATGAGTTTAGGCAAGACTCCACCCCCTTTGTGCCATTAATCCAGTGAATCAGCCCAAGTCAATTAAACTAGGTTTTTGAGTTTATTGTAGCCGAAGCTGGTTTTCAGAACACTGCGAATGATGTCCACAATTGAGATTTGCATTCATAAAGTCTAGAACAAAATCCTAAGATGCTTCGCAGTGGAAAAAAAAGTTAAATAATGGTGGTCAAGGTTAATAACAACATTTAACAAGCCAATAATCTGCTCGGCCTTGACACTGAACTTGAATTGGGATAGTTTTGCATTCCCCAGCACTTGAACTGACTGTATAGCTACACAGCAGATTTTTTTTTTTTGACAGTTTCAACTGAGCTTGTTCATCTTATTGACTGATCAAGGCTGAAAATCTATTCCTAGCATTTCCTCTTTCCTGGTGTATTTGGGTTAAAATTGCTGCCAGAAGCTGCCACAGCACTCTTAGCTCTAGATCAGAAAGTTATGGAATCAAGTCCCAATCCAGAGACTTGAATTCACAAGTTAGACTGCATTCCTGAGGGAGCATTACACTACTGCGAGTGTCATTTTTCAGATGATTCACAAAACTGAGGTTCTATCATCTCTTCTCTCTATTAAAAGAACCCGTGGACACTATTTAAAAAGAGAGCTGGGCTTGAGAAAAGAACCCCCCCAACCCCTTAACTGGCATCTCCCCCACCACACCATAACACATCGGAGCAGAAGTAGGCCATTCAATGAGATCATGGTTGATCTGCTAATCCTCAATTCCATTTTCTTGTCTTGTTTCCACAACCTTCGATTCCCTTACTGATTAAAAAGTCTGTCTATTTCAGCCTTGAATATTCTCAATGACCTAGTCTTGACAGCCCTCTCTATGGTAAAGAATTCCATATTCACTAACCTCAAGAAACTCATCTGCCTTAAATGGGTGACCCCTTATAAGAATACATTGATAAATATACATTTCCAAAACAACTGGGAGTACAGAACTGCGAATCGCAGGCCCTTTAAGAGTGAGGTTGTTGAGAACCTCAATGCCTCCCACCTGCAATCAAACACCATTGTCAAGAAAGACTACCCCTCCCATATATTGCACCATTTCATCGTGTATCGAAAGCATTCTTGATACTTATGCTGCCTTCACTCACTGGAATTGTGCAAAGTTAACTTGTGGACGAATGCACTAGAACCGGCATATCTGTGGATCCCTGCTGACACCCCACTGTACCACTGAATTGAAACTGACTGTTCCTTGAACTTCCCTGTGAAAGATACATTGCTCCAAGATATATATCGTAAAATTATTTATTTAAGTAAGTGTTTTTTTTTTGTCTTTTTTTGTAAGCGGTAGTATCTGATGTGTTTTGGGGTTCTTGATGTATTATGTTCACAGTAGCAACATAATACAATAGATTTAAACAAGGATAGAGGAGAAGATGATGAAAATAAGGACAGAACATGTTACTCAAATGAGGACTGAATAATATCCATGCATCCTGGTCCAATAATCCCCAAACCTGACACTACACCAAGAACTATACTTATGACTTCCAGTATGAATTTGCACAGGCTATCGACATCCCAAGTGGGTCATCTCACTGTTGACTTTGGAGTCAGAAGTTGAGTTTACATGCTACTTCACAACACAATACAGCATTAGTGAACTGCACTGTTAGAGATCCCAGCTTGCAGATGAAACATTAAAGTGTTATCAGGGCTATTATTTCTAAGAGGAATGGTTGTTTTCTCAATATCCTGCCCATCATTTAGCCCTCACTCACCAGTATCTCATTGTTGTTTGTAGGAGTGTGCTCAAATTAGCTGTCATATTTCCATGCATTTCAGGTGTTCTTCCTATGTAGTGAGCCAGTTTGGCACATTGAGGATGTGAAATGCAATGTATAAATGTAAGGTTCTTTCTTTTAACTACTAGATAAGCAAATACTTAAGTCCCAGTATGTACGACAAGCATTTGAAAGCACCATATCTTAAATCTAACTGGCACCAGTAATATATTCATACATTAATTCAGTTGATGTTTTAAAATTAAGAAACAGCACTTTAGAAATACTTTTAAAATAGAGAGAGAAACCCATTTATCTTCCACCCTTAACAACCAGGCCAGTCCCCATGGGAGAATTGAAAATTTGCAAGCAGTCCCCAGTAGTGAGATTTTCTTCAACTACAACCAAGCTGCTATTGTTACTTAAACCAAGGTAATAGTGTGTAAAATACAGGCTTGTAATAATAAGACAAAGCTATTGCCAGAAGCATTATCAGGTATGACCATAACTGAAATAAATTTCAGTACGGGCCACTGACATTTCAGGCAGTCCCAGTGTTTTGACTCAGTGACAATAAAAGGGAACAGGCAATATGCGTACAAGTCAGGATTGGTGTGCACGCAAACTAAAGGGAAGTCTGGAATACATGATGTTACCATGAGGCTGCTGTTCTTGTCCATCAAAGTATTAGAGGGCACAGGCTTAGGACGTGCTATTGGAGAAGCCTGGAAATACTTGAACCTGGAGGATGGTGATGGGACTGGAAAAAGGACATAGTAAATTTTTTAAGTGAGCCATTTTAAAAGGGAAGGAGGGGAGAAATGTGTGTACAAAGTCAAGGTAGTAGGACAGAATGAGGAAGGGATTAAAAAGGCACACTAAATGTTCAGTTCATAAATAGAAGTATTGAATAGGAAAGCAAATCTATGATGAACCTCCAAACTACTCTAGCCTAATTCTGGACACTATATTGTAGGAAGAATGTGGAAGTTTCAAAATGATGTAGGAAATATTTATAATAGTTCAAGTAATAAGAACCTTAGGTTACATGAATAAATTAAGGAGAATCCCAAATTCTCAAAAAGGCAGGACAGAATAAACAGAGAAATTGTTTCCCTTGGTGGAAGAATCAAGAACCAAAACGAAGATTAAGGTGATTGACAAAGGAATTAAAATCAGCAAGTGGTCAGGATCTGGAATGCATAGCTCTAGGAGGCAGTAGAGGCAGATTCAACCATGAGTTTCAAAAGGAAAGTGAGTAAGCAGCTGAAGGCAATAATTTTGCAGGACCATGGGCAAAGGGACTAGCTACATAGCTCTTGCAAAAGTCAGCAGACTTGATAGCCTTCTACTGTGCTGTATCCATGCTGTCATTCTAAGACAGCATCTCTATGTTCAACTTCTTTACATTGGAATGAAGGAGTTCTGCCAGTGAAATCCCACTGACACCCACATCAGATATTGCCCCTTCTATTAAAGTATTCAGTCAAGGCATTGTATATTAAGCATGTAAAGTGAATGTATATTGTTATGATGCAAATAATTGTGCACTTTTCAATAGATTTATTCTATTAATAAACAGATGATGAACTGTTCTTCAACAGAGTTGACCACCTTGATTGTTCTAAAGACTGAGCAGGCATTTATTCTAATAGTAGGTAACCAGTTTGGCTGGGAATCAGGCAACGTTGTCTGCCTAAATCGGAATGTTAGGTTTTGAGCCCAACTCCAAACTTGCGTACACAATTTAGCCCAATACTCTCACTGCAGCAAGCTCTGACTCCCTAGGAGTAACTTTGTCTTCCCTACTGCTCCCAGTTCAGCAGGAATTGCTGTTTTTATCCAACACTACCCAGAGGGGCTCCCATTTCCCCAATCCTCAGCCCCCATACATTAGTCTTCCCCATTTTACATAAAAGAAGTCAGTTTGTTTTCTGGTGAGATACTATAGCCCTAACCTTCCAACTCCATCTAAATGCAATCGATCCCTCAACTACTGTCTTGATAACAGGGTGATTTAATAACTTCATCACTACATCTGAGACTTTACTCCACACAAATTGAGTGCATATTTTCTATAATGGCGACTCACATCCAGAAGTTGAAAAAAGCGGTCAAGAATTGTTTTGGCACATTGAAGTTGTGAAGGGCACTCAAATCCAAAGAATCTGTTACACACATTAGCAAGTTTACACTGAATACAATCAATCCCTGATGGACCTTGACAACATTCCAGCAATAGTTCCGAAGACTCGTGCTCTAGATCTTACAGTGTCCCCAGCCAAGCTGTTCCAGCACATACACAATACTGGCATCTACCAGACAATGTGGAAAATTGTCCAGCTATTTCCTGTACACAAACCCAACCCAATTACTGCTGTATCAGAGATAGAAGTGTCCTTGATAATGCAATCCAGTGGCACTTGTCCACCAATAACCTGCTCACTGACACCTGGTTTGGGTTCAGCGCAGCTCAGTTCCTAAACTCATTACACGTGTTTGATATCAAGGTAGCATTTCACCATGTATGGCAAAAAGCCTTAGCACAAAAACAAACAAACAAAAAAAAAACTGGAGTTGATGGGAGTGATGTGAAAAAACTCCACTGGTTGCGGTCATTGAAGGTAAATCATATCAGCTCCAGGATATCTCTGCAGGAATTCCTCAGGGTAGTGTCCTAGGCCGTAGGCCCAACCATCTTCAGCTGCTTCAATGACCTTCCTTCTATCATAAGATCAGAAGTGGGGATATTTGCTGACTGCACAATCTTCAACACCATTTGAAACTTCAGATGACAGGAAATCACACAAATGCCAGGCAAAAACCCATCTCCAGTAAGAGAAAAATCTAACCATCATTCTTTGATATTTAACAGCACTACCCCACTATTAACATCTCCATTACCTATTAACTACACTAACCAGAAATTAAGCTGGACAAGCCATATGAATACGGTAATGACAAGAGCACACCAGAGGCTGGGATTCGTGCAATGAGTAACTCATCATTCATCTCCCCAAAAACCCTCTCCATCGACAAGGCACAAGTCAGAAGTGTGACAGAATACTCCCCATTTACCTGATGGACACAGCACCAAAGACAATCAAGAAGGTTGACACCATCCAGGACAAAGCAGTCTCTTTATCTAGCACCCCACCAACTTCAACATTTACTCCTTTCCCCATTGATGCAGTGACAACCATGTGTACTAACTAAAAGATGCACTGCAGCAACTCAAAGATCCTTCAGTTCCAAACCCATGACCTCTACCAACTAAAAAGGACACAGGCAGCAGATCCACGGAAATGCCACCCATGCAAGTTCCCCTCCAAGTCACTCCCCACCCTGATTCAGAAATATAATCGTGCTGGATCAAAACCTTGGAATTACCTTCCTGACAGCACTTCTAAACCACACAGACCGCAGCAATTCAAGGCAGCAACTCATTACCACTTTTCAAGAGAACTGGCAATAAATGCTGGCCCAGCCAGTGACACCCACACCCTGCAAATGAATAAAAGAAACACACTTAACTGTACGTGGAAAGTCTGGTAAACTTTATTCCAATAAACTCCACACTGGCAATCAAGCAGATTAAGCTTCCCACTTATAACCTAACCTGGATAAAATATGGAGGAGCAGAGAGTAAAGCAGACCAAGACATCACAGAGTCAATCAAGTCCATACCAAGGAAGGAAACAAACTTCTTCAAAATTAAATAAGTACAAAAGATGCAAAAGTGAGGAATGTTAATAACAGAAATGGGACCCACTGTCACAATGGAAGATAAACAAGTATACAGATGTTCACAACTGGAGACAGTGACAAAGTTGCAACACTATTTGAAAGGGTACCGAAGTCTCCAAACCCATCAGTTGAGGTTGTATCATCTTTTATCACCATTACAGTCTGTCCATGGGGCATCCATCAAGTAATCAGCTACTTCAAGGACAGTCAGCTTCGTTATGTCTAGGCCAAAACATCACAGGGATCTCATCTCAGATACTGCCCAAGGTCACAGGTCTAGATCCTGTGACCGTAGGAGATACTCCAGCGAAACCAAAGTCCCAGTCTGCTTTTCCAATCAGGACTAAAAGCTGTACTATGAAGCCTGCAGGGCGATATAACACAAGTTTTTTTGATTCAAACCAACATTTCTGGAAAAAAAAAAGGAATTGCCCATCTACAGTTCACAGGCCCCCTGTACAATTGCAAATAACATCACTTGGCATTTTCTGGGCACCCCCCCCCCCCCCCAAGATTGCTGTCAGGTTTAAATCAGACCTGAAGGAAGGATGAGATTAAAGGAACGGGCAGTTTCAATAATTCAGGAGGGTCGGAATTGCTGTCTCCTGGACACAGGCTGGAATCCTGACTTCATACTGTCCACTTCAGACACCTGCACAGAAGATAATTACAGTGAGTCTTCAAAGCTGTAAAAACCTCCAATTTTCTAAAGCAAGTGGTGGCGTTCAGAATCACAGCGATGTCCACAGAGGAGGCCTTCTGAGCACTTTGTTTGTAACTCCGAGTGATACTAGGCTCAGATTATGACCAACCAGGGCTCCGTGGCTTTAATCTATCCAGTATCCCTCCACAATCAGAAGGTCACTTGTGGCAGCGTCAAGTGAGGACACCATTGCATCTGTGCAGCTGAATGATTTGTCAACTGCATTCTGCTTCAAACCGCAATCAGAACTGAGTTGCTGACTGACTAACTGGCTTCAGTACGTTGGCTTTGAGCCAACTCCGAACGAGAAAGGAACAAGGAGCTGACTTTTGCTCAACTTTTACAGTTTGCTCGACTAGTCCATCAGGGAATCACTCTAGAGGATGAAGCTGGCAGAAGTTCAATCTCTCACAGACAGTTAGAGGTTGGTTAGTGAATGAAATAGAATCACCGGTGCTCTACCTGCCCTGGGATTCCCCCCCACCCCCCATTCATTCGTTCTTGCGATGTGGGCATTGCCAGCATTTATTTCCAATGCCCTTGAGAAATATTTGATAGGAACAGACTAGAGGTGGCTTTACTCTGTATCTAACACGGATTGCAGCACCACCCGGGTTGTGAAATAATTGGTGGCCCAGCCACGCCCCTACTGGGAGTGTTTGATGGGGCACAGCGGAGAGGGAGCTTTACTCTGTATCTAACCCCGTGCTGCACTTATCCTGGGAGTGTTTGATGAGAGAGACAGTGTAGATGGAGCTTAACATTGTATTTAAGAGTAAAACGTACCTGGTTTCCTGATGTGTACCCAGGCACTTGACACAACAGTATCGGGCCCCGCACGAGACACAGGTGTAGTTGGATGGAAAACCACAAACTGCACAGAAATGACGCTGGGGCAGTTTGGAAGGACTAGCACAAGTTGTCAAGTAGTTTGGTCCCTCACTTGTACTCAAGTTCTGTTTTGTCAGAAATCAAAATACATTTGTTAATATTGTTATGCTCACTAAATTATGAACTTTCACACAATACTTTTTAAAACTATATACAACAAGCCATTATAATGGCTGCTACAAATCTTGTGATACTTGGCTCTTGAGCTAAAGATAGTAAATTTGAATACTTAATTTTTATCTGGATATTCACAACTATCAGGAGAATTCACAATGGGTCAAGACCAAAGGAAAACAGTTTCTCTAGATTGCCCAATCCCACGGCTCACTGAACAAAAGAATCAATCTGAACTCCATTGGTGGCAAATGGCAACAAACAACCATATAACCCAAATGTGTATCAAAGGTGACCATCTCAAACCCTGAAGGAAATAAACCAGAATGGTTGGAATCAACAGGAACCCCACCCTGGGTTGTCTAAAAAGGGCTTTGAACTTGGAGAAAGGCACATGACAACGGAGCCATACCAACATTTCCAGCTGAAAGCCACTGAACCATGCACTTCATCAGGGAGCCAGGCCATGAGGCAACCATTTCAATTAACAATAAATAAAGCAATTGACAAAACAAAGGGCTGGAGAAACTCTGCAGCATTTGTGGAGAGAAAAACAGAGTTAATGTTTCGGGTCTAGTGACCCTTCTTCAAAACTTACTTCTCCAGCACTTTGTTTTTCTTTCTGATCTCTAGCATCAGTAGTATTCTGCTCTTGCTTAGAAATGAGAGCTCCCAACAAGGACACACCAGCCTCCACCCAACCTGCACCAAGTTCAAAGCCAACCTCCTAGAAATTCAGCTACAGGAAACCTTACAGGCTGATGACAAACCTTCACCTTACAACACCTTCAAAGTATCAGCTTCATTAATGAAAGCAGGCTTGCCACAAGAGCTTGGGGATCATAACCCAGAGGCTGAGTTAACCATACTTTGGAAAGTTGCTCTCCCTCTGCGTGTAAAGAATCTTTGTGGGAGAACAATGGAACTGCATACTCTCAGGACAGGTGAGAACAAATAATACCAGTTATAGTTGTTTGTTAGTAAAGACATTTTGCCCAGGCTTTTCCAAATGCTATGCAGTAGCAACATGAGTGGTGCTCAACACTAAAATATGTTATCATCAAGCCAAATCTATTCCAAAGCCATTTCTATCACAAAGGAATGATGTGGTGTACAAATTTTAACGACAGTATGATTCTAGGTTTAAAGGCTTTCCATCCCAAAGACTGGCAGATCGTGTCAAACAGCATATCTCTTTGGCTGTTCACAACGAGAAAGGTACTGAATGCACCAAAACAGCTGGGACTTGCAAAACACTCAGTGCCCAACACTTGATGCAATTCTGCAAAGGAACAACACTTGCAAAATATTCCTGAGTACGTGAAGAATTAAACCAAGCTAATTCAGAACTGTCAGACAAAGTTTGGAATACCTGTGTATATTGGAAACTACATAAATTCACAAAGAGGACTCAGTTCTTTGCAAGCAGAAAGAGGGAAAAATGGGGACAGACTTCGAACAGATCTAGCAACTCAAGAGTGGGTATCCATGAGGTGCTGTGGGCCTCAGCAGCACCAGTATCATACTCAAACACAATCTGCAGCCTCACAGTTCAGCAGATCTCCCACGCTATCATTACCACCAAGCTAAGGGAGTAAAGAGACAACAAGGTGCAGGGCTGGATGAACACAGCAGGCCAAGCAGCA